AAATTGAAAAAACTAGAAAAATAGATTTTTTGATAATGAGCCTGCATAAACTCCTCTACTCTCGTTCAACAAAGTTTGGTGCGCTGGCCACACACACATTCTGCTTATCTCCACTCAGGTAGAAAACGTTTTCTTCAATATATATTCCCCGGCCGGAGCGTTACTCAAACGCAAATCTAAAACGACAGTTGATGTGTTTTCAGAGTGAAATCTCCGTTTTCAATTCAAAATCCTTCAGCGTAATGTGGACGAGACCTAAATGCTAAACTTCTTTCCAGGCCTAATGCTGTAATGCCTTATATTTACTAATCAAATGTAAACATTTTTCCTATGTCATGTTTGTATGATTATTGGCTTCGCGTAGCTTCATTCTGATTTTTGGTGTGTTGTTGTTCTCTATTCTTGTTTTTCTTTTAAGCAGACAAATAAAAATCTGAATGGAGCTTGATTATAAGTGAAAGTGCGGCTTCTGTTGTACGCAACCAGGTGAGAAAAAGTCACAAGTTTAGAGTTATTATTATTATTATTATCGCTGACAAGGTCACCAATCAAAACAAAGCATTTTTCCTGCTTTGTTATTTTGATCCTACAGAGTGTATAAAAGGTTTTATGGTCTTCACTGAGTCAGTTTGCTTATAGAGCTGATACTAGAATCGAAACGCTAAGAAAAATAGAAAGACTCATCATGATGGACACTGAGTGTACAATTTGCGAAGCAGAGTTTTGCAACCGGATCAATCAGACTTTTCAGTTGGGATGGCAAGACTATCGTTGTTTTCAGATCGTGGAGCGAGCCACAACCCGCGGGACTCCGAAACTTCTAGACAGCATGGGGTACACATATACCGTGAGAAAACGAGAGGCTAACTCGACCGCTTGGCAGTGCACGGTATCAACAGAGGGCTTCCACTGCGCGGCTGCAGTAACACAATGGAATAATGGCAATTTCACATTCAGCCGAAGAACCCACAACCACTGCAAATCTGTTGCAACTCTTATAGTGGCCCGGATCGAGTCTCGTGTCAGGGATGAGGCTGCTGCCGATATCTCCAAGCCGGCGTCGGAGATCGTCAAGCAGGTACTTCATGAGGAATTACCACATGCACCTTGCCCCAGTCTGCCAGGGCCTAAATGTCTTGAGAAGATCGCAAAACGCTTCCGAGAGAAGTTGCGATTAGCAGATCTCAAAGGCGACAGCAAGATTTAGCGTCTCTTAGTTAAGACGATAGCAACAAACGGCTCCTTTAGGAGCCACCCAATTTGAAAAAGTCAATGACCAACGAATGACATAAGTAGTGAATCAGTGAAATCACTGTTATCCTGCACGAGCAAAAGTGTACTCGCATATGTTTCTTCTAGTTAAAAAGGTTTTATTCTATAGATCAAAACTTAGCTAAATGTCTGTCGTGCTACAAACAAACTGTGAGTCATAACTGATATAACCAATGATAGATTTACATGTTCAATTTTTACGAAAATTTGACAAAGGAAACAAGTCGCAATTTTAGTATATTCATGTGAACCGGAACAACGGGGTCACTCACCTTCAGAAAGCTCACGGACATGAACAATATCTAAATTTAGATACTGCACATAAAAAAGAGTAAAAAAATAACAAATGGCTCCTTTAAAGTTTGAAAAAGTAAATAACTAGCAGACATGGTGTAAAACGACCAGGGGAGAGGCTGATTAACGAAAAGGTAGTCTTCGGCACTCGTCGGTCTTCGGTTCCTCTCTCGCATTTGGCCGAATTGGACATCACTCAGTCCTGTTACCGTTGTTTATCCGAAAACAATGTGCATATAAAGACGTATCTCAGTCTCCACGTCTTGCATTTGCTTCACAATTTCGTATTCGTATGCTGCCATTTAACGTTCTTCTGAAAATCGTCACCGTCGCCGTAGAGACGAAAATCCATAAAACCGTTTCATTTACAATTCCTATTCGACTTATTCCTCTGTGAACAATAGATCTTTTGAATTCCTTGCCGATAAAAAGTTCGCCTCTCCTAAGCACGAATGACAACTAGTTATCAACAGAACTATGCCCTGTAACGAAGCTTTTGCTGACTTCAAAGGAAAATATTGAAAGAGAAACTTCTAACCCATGCAGTAAGTCAAATTTGTAACAAACCATTACAACTCTAATTATAACAACTAGGTCTTATAATTTTTAAGTGTCAATTAGAAAGCCAAATGTTGACAAAGAATGAAACGTTTCATAGTACGATCTCTTTTACTAAGATCTTGATCTCCATCAAAGAGAATTTTATTGGAGATTTGAATTGGAGATTTGAATTGGAGTGTCTGTCGTTAGGTTCGTCCCTGTCTTTCACGTTGGTAGTATATCCGATTGAATCGGAACCACGGAGTCACTCAACTTGAAAAGCTCACTGTCATATAAACAACGTTTAATTAAGACACTGCGCATAAAAAGACTAGAAAAAATAAATTTTTGACATTATTTAATAGCTTGCAGTAGGAAAAAAAACCTTTGGATGATCCAATGTATATACTGCCTGCTGGAAAAAGAAAAGGTTCATATCAGAACTTCAATTACAAATTCGGCGCGCAAGGATAGCAAAGCGCTTCCTTGAGAAGCAACGACCGGCGGAAATATAAATGACCTCCTTAAGCGTGAGGAAAAAGTCAACAAATGTCTCCTTTAAAGTTGGAAAAAGTAAATGACTAGCAGATGTGGTTTAAAAAGTCCAGGGGGAGAGGCTGATTAATGTTTGTAATTGGCCAGTATGCTTGTAACGCATTGTAATTGGAGAGCACGCGTCATTTTGCGCACGCTCTTTCTTGGACCGATGTCCTTAAACAGATTTCTCGTGCTCTGCCTCTGGTAAAAACACACTCAATTGCTGAAACTTTTAATTGTTATTGATACCTTTAGCCGACGGTAATGAGGATCAGATTATATTACAGTTTTGATTAATTCGTTTTCTTTATTTCCAATACGTTAATAATTCAGATGTCTTCAGTTTCGCACCCGTTACAGGCCGAATTTGACACCACTCAGTGCTATTAATTATCGTTATTTATCGCAAAACAATATGCATGTAAGGAGTTACTGTATCTCAGTCTCGGCGTCTCATGATCGCTACAGGCCTTCGTATTCGTATGCTGCTGTTTAACGTTCTGCTGAAAATCATCAACGTCGCCATGATCCGAAAATCCATGAAACCTTCTTGCTCGTAGTTCCCGTATTCGTCTGTGAACAATACGTCTTTGGAATTCCTTGCCTGTAAGAAATTTAGCTAAATTTCCTCTCGCAAATGTTGCAGAAATCTATTTACAGAATCTTGGGTTGTACTTAGAGAGCCTAAATAGGAACCGGAAAATGTTTTCAAATTTTGTGACCACAGAGGGCATTTAAAAAGTCAAATAACACAGGTTGCAATTTAAAGCAGTTGTTACGTACCTGTGTTTTATTTTGAAAGACAGACAGACACGCATGACATCCAGTTATCAACAGAACGATACTCTGTAACGAAGCTTTTGCTGAATAAAAAGGAAAATATTGAAAACGAAACTTCTAACCCGTGCAGTAAGTCACATTTCGAACTAACCATTACAACCCTACAACTAGGTCTTCTAAATAGTTATAATAGCCGTACATTCGGCTGGCTAATGTCAAGAACCTGGATGTGAATAATTCCTAAGTTTTCAAACTTGTTTCTGTTCACTTCGCGAAATTCAGTGATGCTAATTTTAAAGTGTCAATAAGAAAGCCAAATTTTGACAAAGAATCAAAAGTTTCACATCAGGATCTCCTCCGTCAAAGAGAATTTTATTGGAGATTTGAATTGGACTACAAGTTTCCTGCACGCGTAGGGACGGATTCGCGAAGCATAAGTGACTACACCACTGCGCGGTAGCTAGAAAACCACAGCGACTTGTCTAGTGATGGTAGTAGAAACTGCCTTTCTTTTCTTTTTTTCACACCAAAAATTCATCTCATACCGTTTTACAACTAAATGGAAAGGTGTGCAATTTGAATTTATTCAGTATTGTAACGATAAGTTTTATGGCTCACTGGTCGCGTATTTGCCTGGACTTGGGAGCTTGGCAAATATCTTAACAGCTAAAACACTTGACGGGTGAGCGGATAAATGGTTCGGCAAATAGTGATCAATCTTCACTGAGGAACGTTGCAGAACGGGAACCAACTCGGTTGAACCACTGGCTTGACAGCCGACACTCGTTACGTGATGCCAAAAGCACAGAGAACTTGTTTCTTTGCTTTACTCCAGCGAAGACACAGCAGAAAACCAGGAAACTTCTTTGGATGTCCGGATGTCGGTAAATCACGGACATCCGGTAACTTGTGCGTAATTTTTGCCGGCATATCTGCTCATGCTTAGAAAATTATCATGAGGGAGAGCATTCTCGTCCCTGAAGTCTCCGTTTCTTTTGGTCACGTGGTCGGGGAAACGGACATTTCAAGACGAGTAGCACTGGGGACGAGAATGATAATAGATAAGTTATATTTTTAAAAAAATCTACTCGTGCGTATTTTACCAAAATGCACTAGAAATCGTATGTGATTACCTGTTTTAATTGCTCGTTTTCATGTGATGTCATCATGAGTTCTCGCTTAAGTTTTTGCTAACTAAACAGTTCTTGCCCGAGAAAAAGTATAAATTTTAATTGTCGGAACTCTAGAGTAATAACTTTTTGTTTCAAAAGCAAAATTCAATGACAAATTTTTCTGACTTTTTGCCGCCAAAGAAAGCTCTACAAATTTGGGTGAAACACTTCTCGAAATAACGCTCGAATGAAAAACCGCACAGGCCTAAATCTTGGCGAGGTTTTATTATATTTCAGTCATCTATCGTACCCAGATTCTTGACTTAATAAGCCATTTTCGAGTTAAGTTGTGCCTCTGTTTTAAAACGAATCCTCGTGTAAAAACTTTCTTGTGAAAATAAGTTTGATTTACATGAAAATGAACCAATAGGCGGAACGTATTTCCACATTTCAAATAGAGGCAAAACGCGGTTAGGTACTGGCCTAATTATTGAACGGTTTTGATTTTTATTTTTGAGGGCGTGACAGTGAAAACCACTAATTGTAAAGTTTTGCTCCATCTAACTCTGTATCTTTCTTATTAAGGTTGTGTTCAAGAGAAGTCTTCTTTGTGTGAAATACAGACACTGCTAGGAACCAAGAACACGGTGCTGGTTACCTGCTGAAAGTCATGAAGGAATTAAAATCCCTTAAGTCCATGATCGTTCCCTCTGTTGGATTGTCCGTTTTAGCTATAATTCTCCTTTCATACTGGAGTTCAACATTTACATTGCATAGACTGGATGTAAAGTATGCAGGTAGGAAAACTTTACATCTTTAGGCGTTTCCTAATTCAGATAAGATAAGATAACATAAGAACTTCATTGACGTGTCGAAGTCGCTAGCATACAATGTATACTAATTGTGGACACCTAACTAGAAAAAGTCCAATTTAGGCTAGTTGTAAAGCTATTTAGACGAACTGGAGTACTTACAGAACCAAACTTGTTGTTATTTAGTATCCGATTCCAGACACCCCTGACGGCGTTGCAGGTTTTACTAAAACAAAACAAAACAAACAAACAAACAAACAAACAAAAAGAACACAGAAAAGTTGATACTTAAGCCACTGGAAAAAAAAAATCTACTTGATCGATAAAATTTTTATTCTTAGATGCCTCAGAAAGACAAATTACCAGGAAAGAGGTAATGAGAAACTACTGTCTAACGCACTCATACAAGACAAAACCAGTTGGCAGGGACTTAGAATTTATCCTTGTGGACGATGAAAACAAGATCATCTACTGTACAATTCCGAAAGTGAGCTCAACAACGTGGAAACGAGTTTTAGGGGATCTTCGTGGACTCGACAAGAACATACAAAAGATCCATAGCAAGTATTTGTGGCGATGGTTGTATCAATATACAGAGGAGGAAAGATTACAACGAGTTGAAACTTATTTTAAATTTCTCTTCGTTCGGGAACCCCTGCATCGCTTGCTTTCTGCTTACAAAGATAAGTTTATGAGAAGGGATAGGAAATGCAGCGAGGACGCTCGGAACCGAATCGTCAAAGCATACCGCCCACAAGATTATAAACCCAATGGAGACTATAATGACATCAACATCACCTTCGCTGAATTTATTCAGTATTTTTCCAATGATGTGCCGCGGAATGAACATTGGCGACAATACGAACAGCTCTGTCATCCATGTGTTATTAACTACGATTTCATTGGTCATTTAGAGACTTTGGAAGACGACGCACCTCTGCTGTTAAAAATGGTGGGAACTGACGACCGGGTAACTTTCCCGCCAATCCACAAATCTACCGGCTCAGATGAAGTGTTGGAGTACTATTCCCAGGTTCCCATTCGGTACATAACTCGGTTAGGAGAGTTGTACCGCAGTGATTTTGAAATATTTGGTTATGATTATTTGGCTCCGGTACAACCGCTACTCAATAACAGTGAACAAACAACAAGTTTTAAACAGTAACAAAATTGCAATTCCCTTCAATTCCGACTTTAAGCTAGTACGAAAAAGCTCACTAAGTTGAGCTATTTAACGGATAATGTAACGTTACTCATCACAAGCGCTAAAAAAAAAAAAAAA